TTTAGTTTCAGTAGAAATTAATAAAGAATAATAATTCTTATTTAAAAAAAGAAAACTGCATTTTTTGTTTTACTGAAATTTTTATAATTTCTGTGATTTTTCTTATCAATTACTAATATTTTGCAAAAGTGTTCCTTTTTGTTATGTTTGTGACATATTTTATAGTAATTTAATTTGTATTTGGAATGGATTCAAGAAGCAAAATTTTATTTGTATTCTATATACATATTGTTTCAAATCGAATTAATTCTGTTGACCTTACTTTTTAAAAATTTGTCGTCATTCTTTTTACAGTTCACACAATTCGTGGAACTCAGAAACTTCAGATTCCGAATCTGATATTGAAAGTAGGAGGCCACCCCCTAGTAAATCGTTGAATAGACGTGCGGCTCAAAAGGCAAAAGAAAAAGCCAGAGCACGGAAGAAAAGAATTTCAGAATCATCTGAAAATTCTTCCTTTGACAGTGATGATAACAGAAGGTATTTAAATCTAGATTTATACCTCTATCAACGATCTGTTGAAAAATAATAAAATATGAATTATTATGATTCAGGCAAGTTACAAGAAGAACTGGTACTGCAGTTAGTTATAAAGAGGAAAGTGAAGAGAGAACTGACAGTGAAGACTTAGTGGAAGTTGAAGAAGGCAGTACCGCAACTGCAGAACCTGACAATGCAGAAACAATTGAACGAATTTTGGGGCATAGGATTGGTAAAAAAGGAGGTTGGTTTTTCACAAAATTATATAGATGTAATTTATAGATATATATTTTTCTTATTCATTTGTATTGTATCTGTTTTAAGTTACTGGGAATATTACTACAATATACGCCATTGAAGAGAATGGAGATCCTAATCCGGTAGATTTGACGAATGAAGTAACAGAAGTGCAGTATCTGATAAAATGGAAGGGCTGGTCTCATATCCATAACACATGGGAATCAGATGACTCTTTAAAAGCACAAAAAGTGAAAGGACTTAAAAAATTAGATAATTATATTAAGCGAGAACGGGAAATCAAAAATTGGAGGGATTGTGCTGGACCAGAAGATATAGATTATTTTGAGTGTCAAGTGGAACTGCAGATGGACCTACTAAAAAGTTACAATAACGTTGAAAGGATTATTGCTGAATATAAGAAGCCAGATTCTGAACACCCAGATTACTACTGTAAATGGGAGAGTTTACCATATGCTGAGGCAACATGGGAGGATGGAATACTGATTGTCAAGAGGTGGCCAGAAAAAATTAAAGAATTTCGTGAGAGAGAAGAGTCAAAGAGAACACCGAGTAAACATTGCAAAGTTTTAAAATTAAGGCCCAAATTCCATCAATTAAAAGGACAACCAGATTGTATGGGTAAAGGACGAGAATTAATACTTAGAGATTATCAAATGGATGGACTGAATTGGATGATCCATTCCTGGTGTAAAGAAAATAGGTATGTCGTTAATTTTAAATCCCAGTCGAAGTTTGAATATCTAATGTATAATAAATTTAAATAAATTTTGTTTTCTACAGCGTTATTTTAGCAGATGAAATGGGTCTTGGTAAAACTATTCAAACGATATGCTTCCTTTATTACTTATTTCATACACAACAACTTTATGGGCCATTTTTGTTAGTAGTTCCTCTTTCTACAATGACTTCCTGGCAACGAGAAATGTCACAATGGGCACCAGATATAAATTTTGTTACGTATTTGGGTGATGTTACTTCCCGTAATGTTGTAAGTATTAGTTTTCATTGACTTCCATCGAACGAATTTTATTATATGATTTATTATATTTATTTACAAATATAATTGTAGATCAGAGAATATGAGTGGTGTTATACTTCAAAGAGATTAAAATTCAATGCCATACTTACCACGTACGAAATAGTACTTAAGGACAAAACATTTTTGGGTGCCTTAAATTGGGCCGTACTGTTGGTGGACGAGGCACATCGATTAAAAAATGACGATTCCCTTTTGTACAAAGCACTCGCCGAATTTCACACGAATCATCGGCTTTTAATAACTGGTACTCCATTGCAAAACAGCTTGAAGGAATTGTGGGCCTTGTTACACTTCATAATGCCTATTAGGTTCGTTAATTTTTACAGAAATAATAGCAAAAATGTATTAGATAAGCTCCATTGACCAATTCTTCTTTGTAGGTTTAGTAATTGGGAAGAGTTTGAGAAAGAACATGATAACGCTGCGCAAAAAGGATACTCCAAGCTGCACAAACAATTAGAGCCATTTATTCTACGACGTGTCAAGAAAGATGTGGAAAAATCGTTACCTGCTAAAGTTGAGCAAATCTTGCGCGTAGAAATGACGTCTTTACAAAAACAGTACTACAAATGGATATTAACAAAAAATTATAACGCTTTGCGCAAGGGTGTTAAAGGTTCTACTATGACGTTCTTGAATATCGTTATCGAGTTAAAGAAGTGCTGTAATCATGCGTTTCTTACAAAACCTACTGAGAACGAAAAAAGGGACAGCAACGAGGATTATCTGCAACAAATAATTCGCGGTTCCGGCAAATTAGTTCTTCTCGATAAGTTGTTAGTTCGATTGCGGGAGACGGGCCACAGAGTATTAATATTCAGTCAAATGGTTCGGATGTTAGATATTCTGGGCGAGTATTTGCAAAAAAGGCATTTTCCATTCCAAAGATTAGACGGAAGTATAAAAGGGGAATTGCGGAAACAAGCATTAGATCATTTCAATGCGGACGGATCGCAAGATTTTTGTTTTTTATTGTCAACTAGAGCTGGTGGTCTAGGTATCAATTTGGCTACCGCTGATACTGTTATCATATTTGATTCTGATTGGAATCCGCAGAACGATTTGCAAGCACAAGCCAGAGCACATCGTATTGGTCAAAAGAATCAGGTATTTAAATTTAATATTCCGGTTACTTGCTGGATGTACTTGATCGACAGTATTACTAAATTATTACAAAATCCTGCAGGTAAATATTTATCGATTAGTAACAAAAAATTCTGTGGAAGAGGAAATAGTAGAGAGGGCGAAGCAAAAGATGGTCCTTGATCACCTTGTGATTCAAAGGATGGATACAACTGGTCGTACAGTATTAGATAAAAAGAGTGCAGGGACCAATAACAATCCATTTAATAAAGAAGATCTAAATGCAATTTTGAAATTCGGTGCTGAAGATCTATTCAAGGACGAGGAAGACGGAGACGAAGAGCCAACTGTAATATTTCTGAATAATTTGAATAATTACCAATGAAATTCATACGATGGCATGGGAAAAAATTAATTTTCTATTTTTATGTAATTAGTGCGATATTGATGAGATCTTAAGAAGAGCAGAAACGAGAGACGAAGGACCTTCGATGGTAGGAGACGAATTGTTGTCTGCGTTTAAAGTAGCTAGTTTCGCTGCATTTGAAGAAGAGTCCGAACCCGTTAGTCAACCTAATGATAATGACGATGAAAGTAAAGATTGGGTAAGATTCATTTACATCTTACCGTGAACCGCTTTATGATACGTTTTGATAGAGAAAATGTCTATGTATTGATTGGTTTTCTTTAGGCGGAAATTATTCCAGAAAATTTCAGAAAAAAAGTTGAAGAAGAAGAAAAGTCCAAGGAAATGGAGGATCTGTATTTACCACCAAGAAGTCGAAAGACTTTGCAGCAAATTAATCAAAGCGAAGGTATGTTTTGCATTTATCAGTTTTTATTGAAATATAATTAACATGCTGTTCACTATTTAGGAAGGAGTAGAAAACGAAAGAAGGCTGATGACAGTGAAGATGGTGAAGATTCTGGAAGTGAAGCTGAAGGCAGTGACGATGAACGTCCTAAGAAAAGAGGTAGACCGAGGGTTACACCTCGAGAAAATATAAAGAGCTTTACTGATGCAGAAGTATGTATATTTTTGACCCTATAGTAATTTCTCGTTCATGTACAATAGAACATGATAATTACTTTATTGTTTAGATACGAAGATTCGTGAAAAGCTATAAGAAATTCCCTGCACCATTGAAACGTCTGGACGACATCGCTACAGACGCCGAATTGCAAGAGAAGCCAATGTCGGAATTGCGTTTCTTGGGAGATCAATTGAGAAGTAGATGTGATGCTTGTATATCTGAATTTGAAAGTACTGCCAAAGAAAACAAAGGGGAGGAAGAGGGTAAAGGACCTGGTCGCAAGAGAGGTCGAGGCCCGACGTTCAAAATTGGCGGAGTTATGGTTAATGCGAAATCTTTTTCGGCTGCTGTAAAGGAACTTGAACCTTTGGAGCAAGTTTTGCCATCAGATTCGGAGCAACGATCCAATTGGCACATTGACACTAAGTAAGTTTATCATTTAAATTTTCTTTTTCACTGCATAAATACAGTTTATAAGCAACTCTTTTATAATTGTAGATTTAAACCTGCAAACTTTGACTCCGAATGGAGTTCCGAAGATGATTCTAGACTCTTGAGAGGAATATATCAACACGGTATGGGTTCATGGGAAGCAATAAAAATGGATAATAGTTTAAAACTTGGTGATAAAATTCTTCCAAATAGCAAGCTGCACTTGAAAAAGATTAATGCGCGAGCTGAATACCTTTTAAAAGTACTCAAGAAACAAATTGATACCAAACTAGGAGTGGTAAGCAGATATCTTGATTTTCTAATGATCTGTATATAATTCCTTTATACCTTTTTATTATCTTAATAGGGTTACATTCTTATACCACATTTAGAATACCAATACAAGGTAAATACCTAACCCATAATTTTCCTTTTTCCTATTCCATGTACTTTCCATACCAATGCAGTAAACAGAAATTAATGTAAATTTTAATTATCTTTATTCGATATACATATATATTCTGAAAATCATTTTAGACCAAAACTAGAAAACCAAGAAAGCCAAAGGAAGTGAAATCTGCAATTACAAAGGAAATTGTAGAAGAGAACGATAGTTCAGGCGACGAAAATAATAAGACGAAGTCGAAAGTAGAGAAGGTACATTTAATACTTATTTGTTAGTTATATTATTCATGATCAGTAGTTGAAATTTTCAATATTTGTGAAACTTTAAGCCACCCGTAAAGAAAGAAGAAGAAGTTGTTATCAAAAAGGAAACTAAAGAAGAAATTGAAGATGTACCGGAGGAGAAGAAGAAGGAGAAAAAAACTAAGAAGGAGAAGAAAGAGAATAAAAAGACTAAAAAAACCAAACAAGCTGCCGGGCCAATGCATTTTACCGCTAACAATGAACCGAGAGCTCTTGATGTTCTCGGGGATCTAGATCCGTCTATATTTAATGAGGTTGTTATTAATTTTATTATGATGTATTCTATATAGATTAATTATGAAACATGATCGCGTAAACATTTTGCTTATCTTTCATACAGTGTAAAGAAAAGATGAGGCCCGTAAAAAAAGCGCTGAAAGCTCTAGACAAGCCTGATCAGTCGTTAAGTGAAGCAGAACAAGTCGCTCACACAAGGCAATGTCTTGTGCAAATTGGAAATCAAATTAACACTTGTCTAGAAGAATATAGAGATCCAGAACAAATCAAAGAGTGGCGGAGCAATTTATGGTACTTTGTGTCGAAGTTTACAGAATTTGATGCGAAAAAACTTTATAAGTTATATAAACACGCGACAAAAAAGGGTGGTGAAAGTAACACAAGTGCCATGTCCAGTCCAGAAAAGAAGGAAGAGCCTGCTAATGTCAAGGTATCATGAGTCAATCTATCCTGTTTTAATTAGCTTAATATTACTAAAGAAACGATTGTAGAAACCTATTTTTTCCAGAAGCATGCTGATAAAGCGTACGACAAACATATCGACAAGCAACAAGTAGATGCTAACAAAGAAAGTAGGTTACAAAAACGTAGGGTCGAAGATATGGAGGATACTTCTAATAGTAGCATGCCAAGTAAGAAACACTTTTCAGCGATTTCTGCTGTTAGTAATATCAGCAATACATCTACGGTTACTATTGGTGCTATCACTATCACTCCTATTACATCGACTCCAAATTCTACATCAAGTACTACTAACAGCACAGACACACCGAAACATAAAGAAAAAGAGTCGAAACACAACAAAGATGTTAAAAGAGACAGGGACCGCGACAGAGACAGAGACCGAGCACACAGCGACAGAACTATGGACAGAATGAGCGGTGGAAAAGATGAGAGAATTAGGAGAGACAGTGGTGGTTACAGTATAAGTGGCCATTACAGCGGCAGCAGAGAAGACGACCATTGGCTGTCACGCGATGGAAGAGATATGAGGGATGGAAGGTATATACATGAAATATCGAGCCAAAATATCGATAATACTTAATTGTCTTGCAGTTGAATTGTAGTTATCGATTAACTTGTAGATTTGGGGATCACAAGCGAGATCGCTTCGAGTCTTACAGCCGAATGTCCAGCGGATACCACCGTGATAGAGACAGGGATCGTGATCGAAATATGCATATGACTGATAAGAGAAGGTAAGTTGAATGGACGATCTTCTGAAGAGATCTTTTAAAAAGATATCAATTTCATAAGATTTGGTGTTCAGTGACTATTACAGATATCCATCGGGACCGCCAAGCTATGGTTATGGTCCAGGAGGATATGGCGGTGGAGGCGGCGGTGGTTACCCTCCTTCGGATATTCCTCCAAGTCATTTTCGAGGGCGGGCATATCCCGGAGATGGTTATCCCAGCGACTGGCGACCAAACAAGGATTACAGACGAGACTATGATAGAAGACCTCCTCCACCAAACGCCAACTCCTAGTGTTCCTTCCTTGTTACCGTACTCGAATGCGTTGTCGAACGGTTATAATCATCGACGGAGCCTTGTGTTGTTCTACCTGACTGAGCATTGTACATTATTGCTCGCTTAAATGTGGCTATATGCTAAATTCTTTCACAGTTTTATTCTGTGATTTAGTACCACTCGTGACTTGTACCTATGTATAAAAAGTCTTATTCCAAAATGCTTACTTAAAATATGCAAAAGGAAGAGAGAGAATCTTGAAAAATTAGGAATCTACCATGAGTCCCTTTCAGATTTTTTGAAGGAGAGGTTATGCAAGATATGGGTAAGATAAGATAATGCCGGCAAGTGTGCTGGTACATATATTCTTAGTGTACAATTAATACTTCTTTTTTTATATATATCTTGCAAAACACAGTGATAACGAGTCCTTAAGTTTGTATTCGCTAACATTTTTGCCACACGCGAAATATTTACTTTTATGTACTCGGAGACCTTTTATTACAGTGCAATTATAGCAAGATTAGTTCGATAACGAACGAGAAATCAAATTTGTTTCTTTTTTTTTTTAATGTATATTGTTTCGTACATACATTTGAAATTTGTTGATTTTTGAAACTCTACGCCTTCCTAAATCTCATGTAATATATTTTGCATTTTTTTCAATAGTAATCATGTATGTTCGACAGATATTTAGCCTGTATACAGTTAATCATTAATTCAGACTACATACTGTACGTTTCTCAGCATGCGTCTTCTGACTTTTACAATTGATTTTGTAGTTTCATGATTTATCTAGTATTGATTGATACCTTGTTGTACTGCAATAAGTATTAAGCTGTCAGCGTTTTACTTAACACAATGATGTTTGTAAAATTGTACAAATTAGTCGACATTATATCAATTTTCTATCAGCTGAAAAAACTTCATCGAGATCTTGCATCAGAAAAGAAAAGAAAAAAAAACTACAGCTATGTAGTATAAACTTGGCGTCTTTCCATGACAGTATATAGTCTACATGATTCTGTATTGTCTCGATAAACGCATGTATTTATTGTAAAATTAGGAACAAAACGATAAAATATGATACTTGACGAACACGTATAATCAAATAATGTCGAAAGGAGCGAAAACACACAAAAGAAATACACTAACTTACTTCTCTTTTATAGGATTTATACTTTCGCGATTGAAAAGTAGATAAGAATTCTATTTTTGCGTTCATTCTTTTAAAGTACCATAGTTTTGTATCCTATTCTGAAACGATGTGAGATATTGTAAATATTAGCATAAGACTATAGTTATATTCGATGTATATTTAACTATGGAGTTACTGAGATAGTATTCTGCTTTTTTGTAGAAAGAATAAATGAAAATGTCTAACTCACCCTCAGTTTCTGCTTCGGTTAAGAATGGTTGAATATAACTATGATAACGTGATTAGAGAACGGGATATGAGTTTTTAACCATTCAACGATCAATATCTCTAAAAAGAGTATTAAAAAATATTTCTTACTTAAATCTTAAATTATGGTAAGGCTTTGTAAAGTGCATAAATTTTTTGCGAGAACATTTGTATTTTGCCGTTTATCAATTAGGATGCTACAAAATGATAATCAATTGCGCTATATTTCAGTAAACAACAGAAATACACTTGCGAATTTTATATCCGTGAAGAAGAAAAATATGAAAGTGATGAGCTTTTTTGTATGTATGTACGCATTAATTTCTTTGAACCTAAGATCATAAGAATCTAAGAACAACCGGTAAGAACAGGTAGCATCATTTCTTTTCTACTGCCCAAATTTCTTATTTAATCGATGTCTTGCCTAGGCTGAAAACAGACAAAAAGAAATTATTTCGTAGATTATAACATTTTACAATTTTAGCGTGCATTTCTGTAAATAGTAGTGCATACACATGTGATGGTGTTTGGCCAGAATTAAGTAACAAATTGTGTGAATTATGTTAAAGGATATTTTGTGTCTCTCGTACATACATGAAAAGAAAAAGCATTGATTCATTGAAAATCACATCACCATAGAAATCTGCTAGCTTAGGTTTTTAATTGCAAAGTGATATTCTAAACAGTGAGCTATTTATAATTTATTACTAGCCGAATACAAACCGTGAATAATGAGGCAAAGTATGTTGTAAATATAATATAAGAGAATGAAATAAATGATGTAGTAAAATAATTTAATACCGTATAATTAAAATGGATCATATTTTATTACTTACGAAGGTACATTCAATTAATCGCTTGAAAGAAGTTAAGGAAACATAATAAACGTTGTTCACCGTCTACCAATTATTCATTACATTTGCTATTTACAGTAGTCTCTCTTATCTGAACGTTCTTTTTAGTAATATCCTGATACCAAAAAATTCTATTATCCATTCAAATTCTCTACTAAGCATTAATATATCTAAATAATACAATGAATAGATAATAGAACGTTTGGATGCTAGAATATTGTAAAAATAAATGTTCGGTTAAGGAAGTCTCTACAGTACTGGAATCATCATCATACACTCCACAACAAAAGTATAATTATAATATAGTTCTACGAAATACATGAGGCCGCGATTCTTAAAATTTAGACGAGAAATGAAAATATCTTCTATGCGCGATAAAACTATAAGATACTCCTCGTTACTTCATGACAGCAGAAGGTGAAAAACAGTTATTCGTGTGTTTTTGTCTCTACAGTAAAAAAGTTTATTCTATTCATTATTATTTTTATTCCAAAGACAATAATTAGTAAAACATATACGTTAAAATAATACAAGAACAATTATCTGAATATGGCTGTCAAATGGCTTTACAAAATTATGTTTTTCAGCACGATAATTCAAGCGTGCATACAGGAAAATATGTTAAATATTTGTTATTCAAGTTTTATCGTGGCCCCTGCTCGATCTCCGACCACAATTATTATCGAAAATTGTTGGGGGATATTTGCACACTTGCAACTTGCACGACGAGTTTATGCAAATGCAAGACAATTCAATAACATAGAAGAATTAATACTTGTATTTTAAATAAATGTAATAATCACTAAATCAAAATGTTTTAAAAAAAAACTATACAAATTATTACCAGAAAAGAATGATAGAAGTTGTAACAAAGATGGTAGTACGCATTACTAATAAGTGAACACAAATTATTTTTCATAAATTGTTATTTATTTTGCAAAAATGTACTCCCTGTCTTATATAGTTTTGTCGCACCTCTTTTCTTTGCGAATTTTCTCATAAAAACGCAAAAGAACATATGAATAATTTATATCTATAGTAACTCATATTTTTTTAATGATTTATTTCGAAGATGATTTGATGTACATACGTACATGTACATAAGTACATACATTATAGTGTTAGAAATCTCCCCTTCCCTACTCTTGACTTTTAGCATGTCATCATACACGCATTATGTATTACTATGGATACCTGGACCTGACTCTGAACAGTTAAAGAGACGCAATTGAGAGAGAAAGAATCTCGAAATTCAACGTGCCGGCAAAGTTGAAGTTCTATTCTTTTTGTCCCAAATAAGGTGCGGTTTTCTGTGAGTACATCATTACAATCTATTAATTAAATGCTTTGAACTATTACTTTTACGCCGGCAAGTGTAATGCGTAATTGAAATTAATTTACCGGCGGAATGAGTTGTCAAATCGTATAGCAAACATGATATGTAATTCTCACGATTAGCGAAGTTGCGTTTGCATACAAAATGTATAACTTCCAGTATAATTGCGTAAAAGATTTAATCATTGTACCTAACAAAATATTTATTTATTCACAAATTAGAAATATATATCATATATAATTTATTAGTTTCGGAAGACGTAATAAAAATATTCGTTAAAAAATTCTCATATTAGCAAAAAAAGAAAAAGCGGAATTCATGAAATTATAAACATCGAAACAATAAATACACATTTCCATTTCCATTTCCATAATTTAAGCAGTTTTTTCGGAGATATATATTGCGTAATATCGCTGAAGTGATTTTATTTTATAGTTACATCTAAACATTGCCATTAAATCTTTGTGTAGTTATAAATTTGAAACAACTGCCTGCACTTTATATATAACTTTAATATTGATGTTATTGTTATTCTGTAGATACTATTATCATGGCGAACGATAGACTAGATATTGTAATATTTGGTGCTACCGGATTTACTGGTCAACAGGCTGTACTGTTAGCAGCACGATTGTCTAAGGAACGAGGTTTTAAGTTTGGTGTTTCTGGACGTCGCAAACAAGCTCTGGAAGGAGTTGTTAAAGATTATGCTGCTGATATTGGTAAAATTGTTTTTTATGCATAATAGTTACACAATTTGAGCAATATCCAAATATTGTATTTAAATATCTCAGAAAACGTACCCATAATAATTGCTGATCTGAAAGATGAAGAATCTTTAAAAAAAATGACAGAGCAAGCCAAAGTGCTTGTCAATTGCTGTGGTCCATATAGATTTTATGGAGAACCAGTTGTTAAAGCATGTATTGCTACTCGTACACACCATGTTGATGTCAGTGGCGAACCGGAGGTCTGAGTGATAAAATTATCTTTATAAAACTTCTGCTAAAAGAAATCTATTAATAACACTTTATAACTCTTTTATTTATATTACAGTATATTCAGACCATGCAATTGAAATATGACAAAGAAGCTGAAGATGCTGGTGTCTACATTGTAAGTGCATGTGGATTTGATAGTATACCATGCGATCTTGGTGTAATTTTTACTCAAAATAAATTTGATGGTGAGGTCAACACCATTGAAACCTATCTAAGCACTTGGGTAAATACAAACATTGATTCCGCACTTATTCATTATGGTACTTATGAGTCTGCCGTCTATGGTGTCGCGAATTATAGAAACTTGCGCGCCCTGCGCCAAAAATTATATCCAGAAAAGTTGCCCGCACTTGAGCCAAAGTTGAAGCAAAGGTTGGAAAGACAGTATGCACTATATGTCCGTAATATAATCTTTGTTTACTAACGTTAGCGACACTAATTTCAGAGGTGCGTTTCATAAATTTATGTCAAGCTGGGCTACAATATTTCCAGGATCCGATCGTACTGTAGCAATGCACACTCAACGATTTTTATACGAGAAATATAAACAGAGACCTGTACAAATTCAAACATACGTTACATTCAAGTAAATCGTTTTATTTTTATTTAATCGCGAATAAGAATTTAGTATTAATTAATATTAATATCTTAACAAACAGATCTCTGTTCACTATGTTGGTGACACTACTTTTCGGTGCTGTTTTTGGAATATTGGCTAAGTTTGAATGCGGTCGTAATATATTGCTGAAGGTATAACATATTATTATTTTTTATTCTTCGTAAAACAGGGTGGTTCACTTAAATATCTTCTTTTAGTTAAATATAAAACTCTGGATCATCCTGGGCATTATTACATACAATTAATTTATAAACATTTCTTTAATTTTATTCAGTATCCTTCATTCTTTACTGGTGGTTATGTAAACCATGAAGGTCCGTCGAAGAATGTACGGGAACATACTAACTTCAAAATCAAATTCATTGCAAATGGCTGGACCGAGAAATTGGCTGGACCTACGGATAAGCATAAAGACAAACCAAATAAAATGATGGTCACTCAAGTCAGCGGTATCGATCCTGGATACGTGTCTACATGCACTATGCTGTTATTTTCTGCCTTAATGATCCTTAAAGAGTCTGACAAAATCCCGGGAGAGTATGTTTAAATTTACATTTTGAATTGACTACCTCTGGTTTTCTTCAACATTGTCATTGTTAATGATTCCGTTTGAATGATTCCAGTGGCGGCGTTTTATCTCCTGGTGCTGCATTCGGTAAAACATCTTTGATTGAAGAACTAAACAAAAACGATATTAAATTTGAAGTGCTTTCATCAAAGGAATTATAAAATGTCTGCCGCATTTCTGTGTGCATCTTGCTGTACCATGACGAAGATAAGTTCTAGTTTTCTAACTGCATTTCAATTTGATACTAATAGTTTGGTTTTGGTAAGTAATACCGACTCTATATAGATATATTTTATATTTTGTATAACAGTATTTTTATCTTGTCAAGCACATTCGAGAAGCATTTTTAAAAGAATCCATATTTTTTTAAACGTTAATGACTGGATTACGGATAGTATCAGTAAGTTCTTTTTTATCAAAATACGATATAGTTTTTTAATGTAATTACTATTTCAACTTTTGTGATATTATGATGTTTCGACCTCGAAACGCAACACCTATTACTATAATGAATAAGCGTATTCAAAGAATTTGTATATCAAGCTACTTCGAGTCTATTTGTTTCTAGGTATTGCGCTTTACGGTTGTTGTATAAAATATATGTATACAACGATATATATTTGTTATACAACAGTTGAACTGTTATATACAAATATATAAATTAGAGTTGGTCAAGCATAGTCTGATTACACATTAATGACAATTAATATGTAATTAATTACAATCGCTACAATTTAATCATGTAATCGGAATTTGCCCAACTCCAAGATAAATATATAACTAATATATTGATTTCGTATACGTTAAATGTTCATTGCACAGAAAGCTTCTTGCATAATATCTAAAAACTATGTGTTCTTGAGCGGTAACATTGATTTCGCTTCTTTAATACGTGCTTTAATACCTTTAATAGTGATTATAACTTGTTAAAGTTAAAATTTTTTGTTATTTAATAGAGGTATATAAATATATACATATATAGTATATTATAATAGGAACGTAATTTAATTATTTCTTTTGTATTCTGAATAAAAACTGTTTTGTTCATTGTAAAAAAAATGGATTTACACTGTAATCCCGCAACGTCATGCCATTACAATTATAAGGAAGTACATCTATACCACGTCTGTTGAAACAACGATGACGATCACGAGTATACGCTAAAGATTATCTTAAGCAATCAGTTTATATAACAAAATTATAAATATTAATTCATTTATTTCACTGCTTCCATTTCGCGAAGTTGAAAACTATAACCACCGCCAATTTATGTAATATGCATCCAATCGATACATAAGTTCATGAATATTTATTGGATCATTTTCCATGAATAGAATCAAGCGATGAGTTCGAGTTAGAGAGTCTACGTACTACAAAATTATTAAGAAGTTCCTCCTCGTGAATAGATTACTGATCTTATTAGTTTATATCACATTATTTTCAAGATATTAACAGTTGAAACAAATTTGTATATTTTAGTCAAGCTGTTCATGGCTGCGTCAGAAAATTTTGATCTGTCATAAAGTTCCGCAGTCCATTCACGATTTAATGCGTCGGTGATAACATTTAATTATTACTTTTTTATCCCCCAATGGCACTAAGAGAGTAATTGCTTCTGGTTACTTAGGTATTGCAGTAAGGACGCAGTCGATCTAAACTGTGGTGACAAATTGAGCATGGTAGAAGTAAAGGGGGTTTTCCAAACGTTTTCCGGCCTTACTCACTAGATATATAAATCTGTTGACAGAAACCGAGCTTAGTACGTTCTTTCTCTTTAAAGAGAGCCTGTTGCTGATTACGATCATCGTTCACATAATTGTAAGATTCGTTGTCTTAGTTGTAGTGGCATTTCTATAAGGTATCATAGATGTCCAAGTACGCAGAGAACTTACACAGACTGAATGATGGTAAATACATTTTTTCATAACTTTATTTTCATTAATACTAAATCAACATCATTTTTCTCATTATTATTAGATCTATAAAAATTTCTTCATCTACTTTCTCGATTTTCTCCATTTTATTTTCTAATTCCAACAATGCCACATTTATTAGTGATTAGGAGATTCATTAAAATTTTGTAAATACAATTTGTTTTCCTTTAAAAATTGATGCGACACCAGGATTCTCGATTACTTTTGGTTTATTAGACTCTCAATGTTTCGAGGAATGATCTAACGATCTAAGAATAGATCTACGAACGAGGCCGAGCAATTTTCATATATGAATCGTGATGTATGGAATCAAATATAACGGAGCAGATAACCGTGATAATCTCGATCGCAATTTTTTTCGCTCGTCAAACCAGAAACGTATAGATTTCCGTGTCGCGCCTTCCCATATCCATTGCCATTTCTTTTTTATGCGCATCGTGTTTCTCGTAGATTGATATGCCAATCATGTATAGAATGTCAACGAAACGATATTAGGGAACGGTATCGAGTATCTATATAGAGTAAAATACTGAAACCAGAGTGACAAATATCAAGTGTCCTCTTATTGGGGTGAAACACATGATAGAGAGCAAAGAACTGTGTTGGATTTCAAGTGTCACAACAGAAATTTATAGAACCATCGAAATCATTATTCTACATTCTGCGGTATTCAGACTCTTAGCTAATTATTTCATAATAATTGAGACCTCAATCTATAGAAATTCGAAGACAGACTAATTTTCTTTATTGCGCTTTCATTTCATTAGAAAATAAATAACATTGATCTATGAATTATTGAATACGAACACCAACAGTTAAATCAAGACAATGATTGAGTACAAATTACAGATTAGTTTTCTACAAGTTAACGAGTCTCTTATAACATAAATTATTTCCTTGAAAATAAATTGAACCCCTTGCCTAGGCAACCAGCCACTCAGCTCTACATTTACTGTGTTTTACAAGAAATCAATTACAGTACAAAAATCATTTTCTACGTCAAAATTTTAATATACGTTTGCCTATACAGGTGCACACACTTGACCTTGTTCCAGATCATCATTCCTCTTGTTCATAAATATCATCGATAGACGTCTAATTACGTTCAGAAGCATTTCGTCGCTTATCCTGGAGAACGTGTACACATACAGAAGCACACGATACTCTTCTCGCAATCGGTAATCATCATCGTCTGCCCGCACGGGTCCGAACGGACCCAGCCTTGGCCTGACAAAGCCGAACCAATCCGCTCAATGGAAATCCGTCATGGAAACAGTCACGGTTTTAATTGCCGATCGGTGGCCAGTGGTACGCGGAAGGAAGGATTTCTCGGTTCCATGGCCACGGTAGAAGAAAGGAAACGCGCGTTACGTTACGATTCGGGGTAGATCATGATCCCCGATCGTCAACTAGCTCTCTTGTGTCTTGTGGCATTGGATCGGTCTCTCGCGTTGTTACGTGAGAGCGACCTCGAGAATTCTTCGCCAATATATATATATATATATGTACAAGCATGATTTTCTACGCGCGACCGGCTGCCTTTCCTTCGGTTTTTCAGCCGGGAGCCCTGGTCTACGGCAAAAACCATCAGGTGCCTCTCGGTTGTTAAGTCGGCAGCGCTGTGCCTGGCTGCGTTTAAATAACCGCACACCCAGGCAGACAGGCGGGTGTATTCTCTCACGGATCTATCGGTCCCCCGGTGTTATAGATCGCTCATTGTCTCGCGCGGACACGTGGCCCGACGCGATCGATAATTATCGGACCGGTATCCCCACGGGCCTTCGGCTGTTGCTCGTTATCGATTGCAGCAAGTAGTGAAGGTCAGCTGAGCTCGGACGTGTTTCAGTAGTGCGACTTGGAAATACGAGCGTGGACCTCGCCGCTCTAATTCACCGCACCTTCCTGTCGCGACCTGTTTCTTTTTTCTTTTCTTCCAGAAAAACTTCAAGTATAAAGTGCGCTCGCAGCCGTAACACCTGTCCACGCTCCTCCTGCGTAGCACGTTACGAGCAACGTCGGTGGGGTGGACAGTTGATAGTTTCTATCACGGTCTCTTTTCGAAGAGGATTTCTTTTCCCGCGTAGCTGGCTTGCAGCAGGTGTTACGAAACGATCTAGCCTTCTCGGGTCAGACGTTTATAGTTGACGTATATGTACCGCGAAACGATTAATTTCACTTTTTCATCGTTAAAATGTTTCATTCAACGGTAGCACATCGTTTGCCACATGCGCAGACGAGTTTGCAAACGAGATTTCCTGATCGTTGTAGAAACGCGCGGAAAATTCATTCTCATGTAAAGTAGAGTCTAGATAAATTATGAACGGAGAAAGTAATCAATTAATAAATATCATTACGGGGCTCTCGGAAATTAATTCAAGTCTCCAGTGAGAAAGTAAAAGTAAAGTCTCTAGTTGTAAAAGTCTCGAGTGAAAATTTTTGAACAAATTGCTGTTTCTATCGAAATCGAATATTTTAGTTGACAAACAAAATATCCAACGCGAATGAAACACCTTACGAAGATGGTACGCACCGAAGGTCCGCAGTCTGATTATTTTTCGCGGAGATCGCAGTCGTTTAATCGGCGGGCGATTTTCATTGCGAACGTAAAAACGATAAAAATCGTGTCGATCTTCCGTGATCGAAGATAAAAGATATCGATGACAAGCGAATTATATATCGAAGCTATTAACCGAGCAAGCATAAGTGTGTCGTTAACTCGAATCACTGGAACCTACCTTCGAGGCCCTTGTCTCGTCTAATAGCCCTGGCGGAATATCACGGTAGCCTTATCGACGTTTAAACTTAATTACTGAAACAGCGAATGGCCAGTTGAACGCCGCCATCATACCTTTAATTATTGTTAGCTCGTACTAATTACTTGTAACAACAGCACTTATAATGGAATATCAATATCGCGTTACGCGGCTAAGTTATAGGGACACTGTGCGAGAGTGTTGCATCTCTCTCTCTCTCTCTCTCTCCTTCTTTCGAAGATGTATTAAATCTTGTGTACAATGTTTGCGTCCCATTATTCTAATGTACCATTTAAAACGTCAGTGTTGGGATTATGGAATGAAAATGAATATGATTCTAATTCTTTGCTTAAAAGGACTTTATTTTATTCCTTTATTGAGAGAAGGTATATGGGCGAAAACGATCGAGCTACCAAACTCTACTGAGAGTCCGGTAAGAAAAAACGCTTCTTTTATACACTTTTTGGGTTC